CATCTGAACTTTTAATTTTTATTATTAACCACCTAAACTTTAGAAAGTGTTGCAATATACCACCTATGTCTTAATCCGTCAAATTTTCCATGAAATTTAAGGGCAATTCCATCAATTCACTATAACTAAAAAACTTAACATTCATAATTTATATATTTTTTCTTTATGAAAAACTAACCTAAATTATCCCACGGTTTCTCCCATCCCTTCCAACACTAACTTTCCCCCTTGCCCAGTAGACCCCTCTGCCATCTAAGGCCATCTCCAGTCATGGGCTATATTCCAAATATAGCTCTAAAATAATGTAAAACTCATCTCCAGCCATGGGCTAAACAAAATTTTGGCTAAATTTGGAGGGCTACATTTGGCCATTTATCCCAGCCTTGGCTTAGGCTAAATTTTTGTGGGGCCCATGCATTTGCTTTTCAACAACCAAAAGTAAAGAACGCTGACATCATCAATGACATCAGCTAGACATGTATGTATTTTTAAAAGCCTTTTTAAATGCTTCAATTGATGTTGTTTAATACAAAAGTATAAAATATTATTGGTCATGACCATTGAGGTCAGACCATTCCAACCCTTCTTTTTTCTTTTTTTTTTCTTTTTTTTCATAGCTTATGTGGTCATTTTTAAAAATTTCTTCAAGTGTTGTTCAAAAAAAATTATAAAAAATTATTGGTCATGACTATTGGAGGTCAGACTATTGAAACCCATCTAATTTTTATTTTATTTTAGTTTCCTTTGTTCTTATCAACGTCATATATGGAATATTGTTTCTAAATAGTAGTTTAATTAAATTAAACAATATATAGTTGTGGAATGTATGAGTATTGTACCATAATTTTTCTCAAAATAATAAAATACGAAGGACCCTAAAATATAGCCTTGCATGGCTGGAGATGGAAAAATTTAGCCCTGCACTATTCTTTAAAAAATTAATATTTTGGAGGGCTAAATTTTTAGTCCTGAACTACATTTAGCCCTATGATTGGAGATGGCATAACATCCTGCCTTTTGGGGATATGAATTTCATGGCTGATTCCAAATAGATTTCTTCAAATCTCCAAATTAATTTGGCCTTCAATTTTTTTTTTTTTTTTTTTTAATTCATAAAGTGAAGTTTCATTTAAAAGTCAAAACGGAAATACACAAAAAGCCATATAAGAAAGAGCAACATAATACAAAAAACTTAATCATTATGGGGCAAGAATCCCATATCTAGACAGTACCATAACTAGTGAAAGAATAGGCTGATAAACCCATCTGAGTAGTGCACCCTCGAGTTGGCCTTCAACTCTTCAACAACCCACACCAAATATTTTATAGATTCAGTGAAGAGAGAGATAAGAGATACGAAAGTAGGGTGTATGCATAGGGTGGGCGGAGGAGGCTATTGGGCAATGTGGAAGAATTTGTGTTGGAAGGGGTCGGGGACGATAATTAGGTTAGCTTATTTTTTCTTTATCTTTTATTTGTTTTAATTTTTTAATTTTGTTAGTTTAAAAAATGTTAAGTTTTTTAGTTATAGTGAATCGACGGAATTGTCCTTAAATTTAACGGAAAGTTTAACGAAGTTAGACATAGACGGTACATTGCAACACTCTCTAAAGTTTAGGTGGTTAATAATAAAAATTAAAAGTTAAAGTAGTAATAGTGCACATGCCTAAAAGTTCAGATGGTATTTATGCAAATTTCCCCAAAGAAAAAAGATCAATGAGTATTTTTTATTTTGGGTCTAACCAAAATAGACCCATACAACTAAAATACTCTAGACAATAACCCACCTATTTTATTACATTTAAATAAAACCCAATTTTGAATTGGATGCCAAAGTGTTCATAAATTATGACATATTTACAAATCATGCCATCAACCCCTCTTTGTTGCTGAACATTTTTCTTCTTAAAAAAATCCCTTAAAGTTAGGATTTCAATAATGTTTTTAACTAGGCATTCAACGTGGTTTCTATATTTTTTGAGTAATGCTATTTAGACACACAACATTGACCACCTTAGCTGACCACCTTATGTGGCAATTGATGTGTCATGCCAAGTCAATTAATGAAGATCGCCATATCAATTAAAAAAACAAATTAAAAAACCCTAGCGTTCCTAGTAAGTGGCTTCATGGCAACATTTATTAATTGACATCGCATGACACATCAGTTGCCACATAAGGTGGTCAACTAAGGTGGTCAATGTTGTGTGTCTAAATAACATTACTCATATTTTTTAATCCATCAATTTCCTCTAGGAGTCACAATTTGAACCCGAGCATTAATTAGGGTTGACTATTTCTCTTTTTTCTATTGGGGAGTTTGTTAGCATAAATGATATATTGGTCTCTTTGATAGTTGTGTAACAATTTTTGTATACTTAATATATCTAACATATCTAGGTACATTATAATTTTCCAATATACGTAGATAGGTACATTATTTAATATACAAAAATATAGGTATATTATTTATATATAAAAAATAAGTTCATTATTGAATATGGTCCATTATAAGCAAATATACATAAATAGGTACATTATTTAGTATACAAAAATATAGGTACATTATTTATAAGAAAAAAATAGGTGCATTACTGAAACCATAACAATAGGTACATTATTTATAAGAAAAAATAGTTATACAAAATATTTGTAGGTAAATTAATGTTCCTAAAAAAAATTAATTTCAAATCCATAACAATTATTAAATTTGAATTTTTGATATAAATAAAAGGAAATAACTAACCAATTAATATGAAATTGATACAAAATATGATCAGGTTGTCGGATTTGGAAAAACAGACCAAGTTTTAATTATATATTTCGTTTACAAAATATAACCAATCATAGTATAAAAAAAAAAAAAAAAACATAATAGGTATATTAGAACCAATCAATTTCAAAAACATACGACACTAATTACACACCAAGTTTTAATTAGATATAAAATAAATAAATAAAACTGACCCACAAAACTTATGCAAAATTGAAACACCATTATGACATTGAATAGCAAACAATTTGTTGGAAAAAAAAAACGTTAAAATGCAATTAGGGTAATTTAGGAATTGAAAAAATATAACATTTAATATGTTAAGCATAATTAGGTAACTTGCTTAGGTGGATCCTAGTCATTGGGTTTTACTTATAAAATTGGGTTTAATTTATAGAAAAATAAAAGGATGGGCTGTAGGTAAGGAAAAATGAATTTAAAGGGGAAACCCCAAATTTACTATTTTATTTTTTTGGGTCGGAATTAAAGTTCATTAAAGCAGTTCCAGCAACAAGGGCTGGCCAAGGCTAGGGCCCATGAAACCAAGCCAGCCCTTAGGCAAGATGAGCCCGAGTTCAAGCTCGGGTTTGCTGACGTTAGCAACAACAACAAAATTTAAAAAAATTTAAAAAAATCTAAAAAAATACAAAAAATTTCAAATTTCTTTTTTAAATAAATACTTTGTCATAGTTTTCACTTCCCACACCAAAACTCTATACAAATTTCTCTCCTCATATCTCATATGAATAGTTGTTGCCATGGCAATGGGTGGAAACACCACAACCTTTTGCAAGGGCAGCCTTTGGGTTCCCTATACAACCAAAAAAATTGGGTTTCTAATGAAGTCTAATTTTATTGGTGTAATGGACCTGGTTATGTTTTGGAAGGGTTTTTTACTGTATTGGTTTGGGCTTATTGTTCTAGTGAGAGCTGGGCTAGATGTTCTCAAAAAAGCTATAAGCTACTTGGGCTTAAACCTGCCATATGCAACCACCTAGAAGTGTAGCCCAAACACACTTCCACCTTTGACAAGGGAAGACGGTGGAGTATGAAAATGTTAATGTGTAATGGAAGATAGGAAGACTTTTTCCAGTCTTACTAAATTGTCACCATCTGAAAACCATTGAAAGTTCAAAATTTTATTCCCATTAAAAGGTTACTAGAAAGTTAAGTTAGAAATCTTCATTTCCGTCTTCATCGTTATCTTTAGAGAATGACAAGCATATCCAACAATCTTTAGTATATACTTGTTTCTTTATCGGTAAAGAGATATTCTTCCTTCCTGCAAATCACAGTTTGACACATATGTAAAAATAATTCATCAAAAACAAAAAGAAAAACTTTTGCATACATGTGATACTGCTATTAGTAAGGATGTAGAAACTCCTACTTACCTGGTAACCTGCTTACTTGGTAAGAAAGGAAGTATTTTCCAATCACATATTTTACTTACATAAAAGTATTACAATTATTATAATTCATAAAATTATGTATGTTCCACGTTAAAATCCGTAATATAATACCGCTAAAAATATTAATTACAGATTGAATCGAGGAGTACTTGTCTCATACTTCTCCCATTCCGAGTAACTATACAGAATTTGAAATCAAATCTTGTATAAAGCTAGAAACCAAATCAAATAATTGAAGATCTGGCCGGCCGCCATCCAGAATCTCCGCACTTAATTCATCCCATTAGGAAAGTGTCCCTACTGGTTGGTGGCAAAAGATATTTTCATTAATTAATTAGATTCTAAACTCATAAATCTCAAATATTCCCCACCGGTTGGATGCCACGCGAACGGTCCAATGATTCAAAAGATAAGCGTAGATAGAATATCCCTATAAAAAAAAATTCAAATTAACATTAGACATGAACGATCCAATCATATACAAGTTCCTTGGTAACGAAATTTACTTGGTTAACCTCGACTTCGATTCGAATTATTACACTTGTATTTAATTCAGTATGGGCATTATTGAAATTAAACCCTCGTGGATAAAGTTGTGGTAGAATTCCAAGTGTTACAAGTAATAATAAATTGGGCAATAAGAATAACTTAATTAAATTTACCACACAATTTATTTACCTAAGAATGACTGCGTTTGCGCTTTTAACATGATGGAATTTACTGATTTTACAGATCTGAAATATTAACAATAAACGTCGATTGAAATTTGCTAGCATTTGTAGAGGAAAATTTAAAATGAAAGAACACGGGAGATATGCGAACGAAGAACTATACTTCATTTCTCAAACACCATTTTTTTTTCTTTGGGAACAAAAATACAGGAAAAGTAACATAGTCATCGATCAAAATTATCGAGCGCAGAGAACACACCACCACAAAACTAGAGAGATTTAGAGAACCAGATTCAGAAACCACCTAAACCCTAAAACATCAAAGAAGCAACACTAAATTCCCAAACCCTAAACCTAAAATTTAACTCCTCCAGCTGCCGCCTTCAGAGCCACCGCTGCCCCTGGAATAGCGAGCGCCACCGCCCTCACCACCTCCATAACCACCTTCACGACGGCCACCACCGCCATATCCACCGCCTCCACTGCCATATCCTCCACCGCCGCCTCCACGGCTGTAGCCACCGCCGCCACCTTCACGTCGGCCGCCACCTCCGTAGCCGCCGCCGCCGCCATATCCCCCGCCGCCGCCTCCACGGCTGTAACCTCCTCCGTTACCGCCACCACCACCGCCGCTTCCACGAGACTGAGCCTCGTTGACGGTGATGTTACGGCCGTCGAGGTTCTGGCCATTCATGCCTTCGATCGCGTCCCTCATGGCCTTCTCATTGCTGAAGGTGACAAAGCCGAAGCCCCTGGACCTCCCGGTCTCACGGTCGTTGATGATCTGAAAGCACAAAAACGAACCAAATCGAATCAGATCCATCCATATAATCAAAACAAATACACAAAATAAGCGAAAATGAAAAGGAACCGATCGATCTTCAATCTTTGGGAGAGAAAGATGAAGATGAACGTACCCGATCTTGAGAGTGAGTAATAATAAGAATCATATAGTAACAGAGAATCATAGATCAAGTAACATAGAGAAACAGAAGATCAAGTAGCAGAGAGAGAACAACAGATGGCCGCGAGGCCGAATCGGGTCAGATCCGATCTCTGCGTCAAACGGACCTTCGATTCGATGATCTCACCGAACGGAGAAAAGGCCCTCTCCAGCGCATCATTGTCGGTGGCCCAGGCGAGCCCTCCGACGAAGCAACGGAACTCGATCTCGGCAGAGGCCATTGCTAAAAAGTAACCGGAGAAAAGAGAACTGGAATTTTAGGTAAAGGAAGGAGAGAACAAGAGAGCACGAAGGACTGCTATCCCCAAAGCCTCGTTATATAGAGCCCCTTCCCCCTCAACTAGGGTTAGCTTGTTTGGTTACTCGGGTTCAAATCCAAACCTATGATGTTTGGTTACGGGATTTATAATATCTCTATCCCGGTTTTGAAATCATTATCTGGACACGTCATCGTGTTTGGTACGTTTTCCGATGTGTGATTTGTTTGGTTCGGAGTTATTTATCCTCGTTTCCAAACAGGGAAAGGATAGAGCCGTGGCATTCGGTGCGTTACGGACTCTGGTTGAAAACGATAAAATTTAAAAAATTTAAAAAAATGACTGGGACGGGTTTATGGGTGGGTTCCACTCATCACATGATTGTCCCCGCTGAGATATTTTACTGCTTGGAAAATATCTCGCGAGTGTAAGTACGGGATTACCCTTGTCTTTTGCAGGAAATTGCTTGTGTGGCCCTCGTTTGGTATCTCCGCGCCCCTGACCCTTTGTTGTTTTTTTTTGTTTTTGTTTTTGTTTTTTTTTGTCTGAACCACAAGGTAGTCCTGGATATGCCCCAATTATAGGTGGCACTTTTAAGCCTTAACCACAACCCAGACTAATCCCCGCTCACATTGGGTCAGCCCGTAAGGGGTAAAGTATTGGCCAAAGTGGTGACTCCATACGAGAGCGGGGATCGAACCCCTGACCTCTCTTAAGGAATGAGAGTGCCGAACCACTCACACCAACCACCTTGGTTCCTTTTTTGTTTTTTTAATGCTTTGGCACTATCGATATGAAGAAATTCTCAACGGATATGCACCTGTGGTCACATCATATGGCCTCACATGGATATACTATTGTATGTGATAATGCCTAGTGGTATTATTTTACGCGATTACAAATAGGTGGTGTTATTAATTTATTCATGTTTTAAATTTACAGTCTAATGTTAGTTTTAGATTTTTATAAGAACAAGAACATTTAAAAGAGTTTTGTAACTCAAATGGTTACATCACCATTAATGAGGCGTTTGTTGAATTAGCTCTGGTCTTTGATGTGTTTTCAAGTAGTTATGGATTTCAATTCCTATGGCATTCGAGGGTGTGAATTTATCCCTCCGCTTTTTGACTTTGACAAACAAAAAAATACTAAAATTTTTATATATTTAGACCGAAAGTCATATATTCGAATTTCTCTACCCCATATTGTTTGTATCAAAAAACAAATAGGGAAAATCAGATGCCCTGTGCGGTGCCACCACTTTCGCCGCCCTATAGTCGACATGTTTCTTTACATTAAATTTTTTATTAATTTTTTTATTAATTTTTTTATTTTATGATCTGCAGGCCCAATCAGAGTTCTTGTTCATTGATTGACCTTATGGGCTGTTGAGCATTCTTGGCTATATATGGGCCTGCTGGTGTCAGTTTTTATGCTTTGATTGGAGAGAAGTGAACCTTCCTACGGCTTTAGCCCAAGATTGTTATAAAATTACAGGTCTGGTATTTGGGTTTCAACTTTAAATCACAAATGGGTGCCCATATCATAATCACCGGCAACAAATACATGCATAACGCATTTCCAAATGCCCTTTTTAAGCTTGCGTCTTCTCTACTGACTATTTTCTTTGCATTATTTTGCATTGTTAAGAGCTCCTGGGTAGAATTTGTTCTTAAAAACCGGCTTGTAAGTGAAGAGTGTTCAAGAGCTCTTAAAGCACTATAGGATATATTATTTTTCCAACGTGGGATCTTGAGTCCTAACATTCCACCATGCTTCCATACCCAACGTTCTCGTTGGTCCATTCTATCGACACTGACCCGATGGTAGCCCTTTTCTTCCTTTGAAGCGACTTCACTCAACTATCAGTATCCAATGACTCGATATCATGCCCATTCATAACATCGATCATTTTAATCCAGCTTATAGGTCGCCCCTTTCATGGAATTGGGCCCAGTTGCATGATGAAACCAAACTCGGATACCAATGTGAAGAGACCACTGGTAGAACTTGCCCCTAAAAATCTGCTTGTAAGGGAAGGGTGCCCAAGAGCTTTCACTCTAGGATATGCTATTTCTCCAATGTAGGATCTTGAGTCCTAACATTTTATATCAACTAGTCAATAATTCCAACACAAACATCCTTAATGTGTACAAACAACGTAAAAATGATAGATGGTGATAGCATTCTAAGCTCGAATCTCCTGTCCTAATAATAATTTCTTTTTTAAAAAAAACACAGTTCTTTTATGCTTCACCTCAAGTACGACAAACCTTTATTCGTGTCGGGCTCTATGCCTCTTAAGTTTCAAGTAACAATATGATCCCAACCCATTCTAACTTCTTAAGCCCATCTAGTTCTGCCCTTGAGGCCAGGAAATAACACAGAGAATTTGGGCCGAGAGTGCCGGTCGAGTTACCTATTTAACATTTTTTTTGGGGTCAATATACCTTATTAACAGTTCAATCAACTAACAGAGGTTGGTGGGCAAATGTTTAGGAATACGTGTTTCACAGCTTGTGCATCCAAATGGAAATTTAATTATAAGCGCCGTTTTTCAATTTTAGTTTTTAGCTTTTATTTTTTATACTAGAGTATAAAGGAAAATGAGAGTACGAATGAGAGTTACGATGAGAATGAGAGTTACGATGAGATTGAGAGAGAGAGGATGGGAAGGAGGAGTAAAATCTTTCACCTGCGCCAGTTGGAGTTTTTTTTTTTTTTTTGGGTTTCTCAACCACTATCCGTATATGGTATATGTTACTTTCAAACCTCCATCATGAAAGTGTGGAATAATGGAAGGGACTTTAGCTGTTGGAGAAGAAAAGGGACCTCTGAAGTGATGAGTTGGGTGCCACGTAAGCACTACCTGAAAACCCTACTTATATCACCTTTTTTTTTTATGGTATTGATATTTTGATTTGTCTTGACAAACATAATAAACTTCAAGTTGCTGCAAAACCAAGTTGGTTGTGCATGTGCAATTGAATATGCAAAAAGTTTCTTTTGTTTTCTTTACACGTATGCACACACGTACGGATATACATAATTATGTTTTCGATAGTTACATACAAGTCTATATAACATATTTCACTCTCGATAGTTTCCCTATGAATTCTGTATTCGCAATTGCGATCGGATCTATTCATTAAACATAATCAATTTAATAAGATTTCTTATCTATCCCTAATACAGAGTAGAGTAATATTGTCTCACTATAGTGTAGAATCCAATATGATAATGCGATGATATTGACTTTTCTTACTTGTCTATGCGTTACATTCCTCAACACTCCACTCTCGTAAATTCAAAATCTTATAAACAAATAGATTTGGCCACAATCAAGAGATTAAAGATAACGACACATTGTTTTTTTTTCTTTGATCAATCTTAGTTTCAACATAAAACAAACAAACATTTTGTTACTACTTTTTTTCGTCGAAAGATTAAGGGATAACCAATTCCAATTGGTCGGGGTCAAACGGTTGTGCAATTGATTTGTGTGATTGATTGACCCTCTAATTTTTTATGTTTATGGGAAGTTGACCTTCTAATTAATGTAATGTGCATTTACGTGATTTATACACAATCAAGTTCTATAATTTTGTTAAAATACACGCTGATTAAGTTAATATAAAAGGAAACAAATACAAAAAAGATTGGAGCAAGTCCTTCCGCAGAAAATAATATGGGGCCATTAATTCCAATTATTGATCATAAAATGACATGTTGATCAATTTAGAGTTATTTACACTAATACATCTTGAGGTTTTCGGTTTTTTTACAAAACCTCCTGAGATTTTAAAAATTACACAATCACCCCTTGAGGTTTCAAATTGTTTTCACAATACCCCTTTGTGTTGTTTTTTGATCCAAAGATTGATGATTATAAATAACTAGTCTCTCCGCACGCGCTTCCGCGCCTGCGAGATGTTATTTTTTAAAAAAATTAAAAATTATTTTAGAATTAAAAAAGATAATGGGTAGTTGTATTCCATAAAAATAGGCCATTATCTAATTTTTCTTTTAATTTTGATTTTTTTAAATATGAAAAAGTGTGAATTTACCATATTATCCTCATTTAATTAATAATTTCAATTCTTAATGTTTGCATTAACAAAGGGCATTTTCTAGTATTTTGAATGTTTCACCATTCTCTGTCTTTTGCTTTATATATATAGATAAAAAAAATGTATTCGAATGACAAAGTCAGCCTTTGAGATTAAATTGCACATACATTCATTAACCTCTTTTTTCTAGAGAATACATTCGTTTATGTTAATTTTGTCATTTGCATAAGATTTATTTATTTATTTATGAAATCATTTATTTTTGGACGAACAATCAACAAAAAGGATTTTGTTAAAGCAATTTGAAACCTCAGGGAGTGCGTGTGTGTGTAATTTTTGAAACCTCAAAGAGTTTTGTGAAAAAACCAAAAATCTCAAGAAGTTTCCATGTAAATAACTCATCAATTTAAACCACGTCCTACCCCTTTCACCTCCCATAACCGCTGTGTTGTTGGGTGACTATGATAATCAGAATTTCTGCCAAACCTCATAAATTTTGTATCCCTTATATTGAACCATCTCCCCATCCAGAACCAGTTATACGGCCCTTATGTCGATTTCTGGTGAAACATGGCCATAAATGATTGTCAGTCTGTTTGCCCCACCCTTCTAAGGACATTATAATCATTGTGATATGGTTCCTATATGTGGAATATTGGACATTCCCTTTAAAAGGAGCAATAAATAAAAAAAGGAAGTAAAAAGCAGGACTTAATCCATATGATTTTGTTGCTACAAAGACTAAATATATAATGTATACATATAACATGAATTTTTCTTCTATGTTAAGTGCAATTTCAACAATCGGAATCATCTATATTTAAGTTTCCTTACAAAAATTTTGTTAAGATTCGAAATTGTTTGGTCATCAAATTCTGTCACAATGAATTCATGTAAGCAAAGCACAATGTTCTACTTTCTTTTCTTTTCTTTTCTTTATTTGAAATTATCTGTTTTTTTTTTTA